TCACTTTGGAGGAGATAAACCAAATTTATTGTCCATTATTGTTATACAAAAATCTAGAAATAATAGATCTGTAGAGAAGAAACAAATGAACGGTAAATAAGAGGTCAGAAATAATTTATAGATGAATTACTTTCCATGATATTACAATGAAAACCATTTCAAAGTACACCTTTCTAGCTTTAGAGTAGATACTGTTCACTAGCCAAAGCTTGCCATAAAATTGAGCTATCCTCTCTATTGGCTCTTGACAAAACCTTTGAGGTCTTCAAGGAAAGAAATGTACTCCTGGTGCTCCAGGGCCGTGCTGAGCTCCACCAACTCATCTGCGAAAGCGTTGTCCACCCCTCGGTCCGCAAGGAAATCCATTAGGTGATCATACAAAGCCTGAGGAAAGAAATGCTGACTAGTTTAAGAGAGAAAGTACTTGTGTAATACATTAAGATGCTGCTCTGTCTTCTCCTGGCCAGGGCCAGGACCACCCTCGTCTTATCAAGCACTTACCCAGTCCAGGGAATCTGTGTTGAGCGTATAATTTGTGTCCTTCCATTCAGACTCTCCAGTGGACTGAAAGCTCACTTCCCTGATGGAGAAAATGTCACTCTCCTCCTCCTCTTCTTGTCCAACCTTATAGTATTTGGGGAAACAGAAAGGTTTTCCACAAGCCAGGTTCACCCAAGAAAGAAACTACTACTTAGAGGTTGAAACTCATCACATTTTAACCTTGCTCCCTCATCCATCACTTCTTCCTCTGCCTTGCTGGTTAAATCAGAAAATGTCCGTATTTGCTAAAATGGACCGGGGCTTGTGGGAAACACTTCCCAGGAGGTCAAGGGGCTAGTATGCCCCGCCATCTACATACCTCATCCTCTGGGTAGTGACAGTCTAGCACCAGCGCCTTCTTGCCATCATTCTTTATGACTTCAACCACGAAGTTTGGAGTTGATGTTAGTTCCGGCTGGGAGAATAAGAACGAGTCAGTAAGGTCCCTGTCCACAGGGGTCTTTAACAGTTCAGGGGGTCTGAGGGCGACACTATTAGGATATTATTTAGTCATTTAACCAAGTCTAAAGCTACACTGATCCCAATAAGCAGCCTAGACTCTGACACACACAGTGTAACAGCTTATTCAGGACTCTTCCTGTTGATTCTTTCTGGAGTTATAGATGGTTTTTGGAGGAAGAATATCATATATTTAATAATAGTGCTTCACTTCTGGTGTACCTCACTAGTTGAAAGAACACAACAGGTTTGACTCAAGCCCAGTGTGTGCCAGTTAAATGAGCTCCAGACTGGTTCTGTAGTCCACCTGAGTCTGTTATTCTAGCTACACACTGAACTGACTTAACTAAGATCTCCTTTTTCTAGCTATAGAAATCTTTTGGCCCAGGATCAAAAGAGTGCTTCTGGCCAACCAGTCATCCTAATGGCTGAATAGTATCTTTTGATGGTGAGCTGTTCAATGTTAGGTAGAGCCAGTCAGCATGGCTGAGAGAAGCACACCAAGAAGCTGCGATCAGTGTCAAGTTATAAGAACACCAACGCCTGCCTAACTCACAAAGCCTAGGGACTCTCAGAACAGGTGATTTCTAGACCTGGCACAGTACTTCCTAAAACATTGTAAGACCAGGTTCAATATGGCCTATGACCTATAAGACAAAAAAGCTCTTTAACAAAAATTACTTGTTAAACATTTTCGCAACCTTGGTTAAATGGCTGGTGTCTATTACCAGTCTGTGCATATTAGGGCCATTTGCCAATTGGAAGCACTCCAAACATCTCTAATAACAAACATAGCCTCATTGGGAAGGAGCAAGACAGTTTTAATCCTTTCCATTAAGAGAATCCTGGCCAATATAATGCCTAAGCCTATAACGGCAATTTAGTTCTTAGTAGAGAACAGGGGTCACACAGTCCTGGTGCTAAAGGTGGCTGAAAACTGCCCTCTGCAAACACTTTACTAGTAAAGTCTCAAGGATGGTTGTCCTTTGCCTTCTCTCTCCTGGAAGCATTACAAAAATGAAAAAAAAAAAGACTGCTGCTTCTCTGAACCCCTGGAGTAAGCAGCCTGCCAAGTCTGAAGTAAAGGCTGATCACAATGTTATTGACTTACCTCCTGTTCTTCAGCCTTCTGCCCTTGGGACTGCTCTTCCTCTCCATCAAAAGTTGGTGGGATGCTATTGTTAATGTTGAAAGTGACAGTGATCCTAGAAAGACAAAAGGGAACGGTGTAATTTTAACCCAGTAGTATTGAGACCCGCTACAGTTAAAATACTTGTTGAAACAATGTCTCTGTCCCAGCTGGCTGTACATCTGAATTGCTCAAAGGAGAGTAGTCCTGGCCCCACGAAGGGAAGGCCTCACAAACAATAATATGCTGCAGTATGGACTCCATACTAGTGCTTGTGGTAAGTTTCAGTCACAAAGGAGGCCGGAGACATCAACTATTTACAACTTTAAGGTATAAGAAGCCCCACCGAAGAAATCATATTCCAAGGTTTGAGTCAAAATTCTAGCGAGGTGAGGTTTGGAACTAGTACTACAGGGCTAGGTAACTCCTAGCAGATAACCGGCTGTGCACAACTGTGCTCGGCTGTGCACAACTGTGCTCGATAACTGCTGCCCCCTGGAGCTGTGTGAACAATGGTGCTTTGAGGTGCAAACACAAAATGTGTCTAATTTGCAACAGTGCTGACCTAGTTGAGCTCCTGGGCACAGAAATGCAGTTATGTTGATTAGAACATTATTTATAATCAAGAACTATGATTATGATCAAGAACCTATGAGGTATCCTAGGACAACGGGGTAAGTGAAGTTACAGGATGGACAACTGACCTATGTATGGGGAAAAAACAGTAGCCCAAAACCACACTGTATCACTAGACAAAACAGAAAGAACCCTGTTACACAAAAGGTACAAAAGTTGGCTCCAAATGGATCCTAGAACTAGGCCCTCAACTCCCCACCTTTCTAATGGCACCGTCCTCACTCTACTATAAGCCCATCCTGCTACATGTGAATTACCCAGCTTACATTTTCACCTACCACAGACGTCAGCAGAGCAGGGGGCTAGTTTTACTCGGCCACCACACCTGTAGTGACTCAGCATGTCAACTAGAGATCAAGCTGATTCTGCCTACAATGAAAGGCATTTAGGAAGGGCAAGGACTTCCTTTACACTTAGGGGTCACTGGATGAAACCTTCAGGTCCAATAAGTGTTGGGATGCAAGCCTTTATGCTAATTCCTTACTAATTAAGGAATTACTGAGACTCACTGACTTCAGTAATCACCTTTTGGTCAAATTGTGTCTAGAGCCTATGAAGTTTTCCAAGTGAATCCTGTCTCTTGGGTATGTCATAACACCCACTGTAACACAAAGCTGTTCTGGGGATGCCCCAAGTCCTGCAGCGTCACAGTTTAATCCCCTGGTGTCCCCAGGCCCCAGTCTAAAACTTACTTCTCTCCGGCAACTTTCCGTATTAATTTAGCTTCTGTTCCATTCACCTCCAGTTCCCAACCTCCAGACATCTTAGGGAGGGACTTATGTTTCTGTATCTTCTTCTCCTCCTTAATTTCATCATTCAGGAAATCAACAAAAGCTTTGTCCCCTACAATGAAAATCAAAGTGATACAGACAGAAAGGTCAATCAGTCTGAAGCCTGAAAATGACCCGTATTACAGCGAGAAATCTGCCCTTGGACGTCCCTACTAGATGTTTGGGGGGACAGGCCTTGGTTTTTCATCTGCAAAAAACACTGTCAACTCTCAATGGGAAGCCGAGCGCATTCTGGAAAAGTGATTTCCAACAAGTGAACTCATCACCAACGTTCACTTTCATAAAGGCAAAAAATTCCCAGTTACCAAGTTTTATACTTGCCAAAGACATATATAACCACACTACTATATTTCTCCCAAAATGAAACACTCGGAGGGCAAGGAAAAGTGCCAATCCCAGGGGTTACCTCGCTGTTTGCCAATCGGCGGGTCCAGGCCTGGAGGGCTACTCTGCGGTCCGCACCCGCCCTGCCCAAGCCCCGTCTGGGCCCACTCGCCTACCTAGGAATCCGCCCCAGCGTCCCAGCCCCACGCGCACTCCCCTCACCTTCCGTGTGCAGCGCGCCGCAGCCGCAGCCGCAGGCGCAGGGGCCGCGAGGCCGCAGGAGGCCGGGCCGCCGCGCCGACCCCGCGCGCACGCTGAGCAGCCCGAAAGGCCGGGCGCACGGGCGGGGAGCCGGCTGCAGCAGCTGCCGGAGTGGCAGGGAAGGCGCGGCGGATCGGAGGCCCGCGACCGCGGAGCCCACGGCCCGGGGCACGCAGCGCAGCAGAGGCAGCATCGCAGCAGCGGACACGTGCGAATGGGAAGGACGACCCCGGCCAAAACACCCACTGACCGCGCGCGCCCGCGGGAAGTCCCGCCTCCTGGGAAGTGCTTCCGCGCAGGCGCTTTTCAGCCTGGCGCTTCTAGGGCGGGGCGCGCACTGCGCCCTCTGCTGGGGGTTTCCCAGAGAGATTATGAGATTATGAGCTTTAGCCTAGTGGGCAATTTTAATTTGTGGGCCCTCCTCCGGGCCCTCCTCCGTCGCGCAATGGGTAAAGTGCAGCACCGTGAAGCCATAGGCACTGCAGCACTAGTTTGATCCCCCGGCCTGGAAGGTGACCCACATGGCGTGGCAGACCTCCTGTCTCATCCCCTGCTCCCCTTAATAGTGTGTTTCAGTCAAATCTACCTGCTCTGCTCCCCAAGTCTTCTTGCACTCTGGTTTTTGATGTGACACTATTCTGCGACAATAGCAGAGGGTCACATCAAGTTTTGGTTAAGATCAAATTTTCTACCTTTCCTGGTCACACGGGATATATACAGTAACAAGAAAGCCTTCCCAAATTATCAATAGCCGCAAAGACTAATACCATATACAAAGCAGTGTTCTGTAAATAAGGGAAAGGAAACCAGGGAAAGAAGCCACTCACATCATGTACAAGATTCATTTTTAATGGTTTTGATTGTCGTGTGCAAATCTGAGCATTATATATACATATATACAAGAGCTGATGTTTTTTCATAGAGCTCTGTGAGTATCAACAGACTAAAAATTTAACATTTATTAACTTGATCTTTTTCTTTTCCTGCAAGTAATATTCTGATCATAGAAAATATAATTAAATCCTTGCTTCCCCATTAGCCTAGTGCCTTCCTTATATGCTCCAGGCCTATCCTCCATGCTTGGCCCCAGTCCCAATCACTTGATTAACTGTATGTGTCACAGCCATCATCACTTTTACTCAGAGCAAACTCTCATCTCCATCTGGCAGAGATGAGACCAGCAGAGCATAGCGGCAACAAGAAGGGTTTTAACTAGGCTCAGTGCAGGAACTTTCCTCCTGTGATGGAATCTGCCTTGCTCTGGGTCTTTCACCCCGCAATTACTAGAAGACAAATACCTGCCGCATGATAGCCAGCTGGGAGTGCTACTGACATGAAGTTGTTCATGGGAGCCGCTGATTCACCCAGATGTGAATTTCACATCTTTACCTTTAGAGGTTTTACCAATTGAAAAAGTTCCTCAAGATTACATCACAACATCACTTTGAAACACAACTTTCTCAAGAAAGTTTAAAGTTTATGATTACCTGAAGCTCAAAATAACCATTTACTTCTTTGTAGTAACATGTGGAGTCACAATGAGGTTTACAATCTGACTTAATCCCTGAGCAGCTATGTTAAAAATTAACTCTAAAAAGCCCAATTAGAAAAAAACTAACGTACTAAAACTCCACCAGAAAACATTCTGTAATAGTGATAAACATATTTCTGTACAGAAACAGTAAAGCTAAGAAGTTACTTACATTAGAAATTATTAACCTTTTACTCATGCTCAGAAAACACACATTTCCTGGAGTTGTTCAGGTACTTCAACTGGACATAAATTTTTCCCAAGTTTTACTTGATCCAGAAAAAGTCTCTAGGTAGAGAATTTGCTGAACATAAAACATGCCCCTGCTCCCCATTTCTTGCCAGCATGATGTTTTATTAAAAGTATAATATTTTCTTTTACCAACTAAGGTTAAACATCACAGGCAGGCCTCTATTTAGTAAATGAGAAAAATATACTTAAATTTTCTGAAAAACTTCAGAAAGTTAGCAATGGTAAAAACAAACTGATTTGAGGAAGAGTCAGGTGAAGTCTAACAATTCAGTAAGATGGGGTACATAGTATTTGTCTACTTCTCTTTGGCCTAACTGAACTTCTAACAGAAACAAAGCACTCACCCTGAACACCAGGCAAGAGCTTGACTGCTCAGCCCACAGCTATTGTTGGGAAGCCGGAGCCAGACTGTGCATACAACAGCACAGACAGCTTAGTTGGAGGTGCTTTGGCTTGGAGAACTCACTGGGTGTACAGTGAGAACACCCACTGCCTAGCGGGGCTTTCAGGCAGCCTGGCCCCCCATTTGTAAAATGCCTGATTTGTTCTGTAAGTAATGACCAGATACTATACACATGTGTTTGGACCAATTAAACACAATGAAAAGATCAAATCGTGGCTTTTTCTAGAGCAGAAGATTCTCTAGGGAAGGATTATGTACTTTTTGATAATTAAATAGCTAAGAACCTTGTCCTCTTCCTTTTCAAAATATGAGATGGAGGAAGAGATGGTGGGGACACTAATTTTCTCTGACAAATGTAGAAACTGAGGGCTGGAGAGGGGTGACCAGAACAGCTAGGTAGCAAAGTCAGAATATCCCCAAGTTCCTAAAAGGAAGGAAAAGGGATTGTAGGAAAAATATAAGCTGCAAGAATAACATGAGTCATTTACTGGAGAGAGGAGCCAATGCTGCCTGGGTTCTCACTGGCAGGATGCCCTGAGCAGTGGTCCTGCCAGGAGAGGAATGGCTGAAAGGTAGACTGAGTCACTCCTGGTGCTGGACAAAAATGGCGACCAGGTATGCTGGAGGCCATCACACACAAGGTCAATCTCCCATGTCCAACCTTCTCCCAGGAAAATTCTATGCCCCTGAAAACCCTAGAAAGGGAATGTGCCACAGTGGTATTGAGGAGGAAGACAGCTCAGTCCTCAGAGCCTCCTTTACTGGTGTCTGCTTGGAGGCAGCCAGACAGGGCGGCACTCTGTGGGGATGAGGCCCAGGAGGGGCCAGCAGCCCCTGAGGTTAGAGACCACAGCACCGCCCTACTGAAGTCAACTTCTACAGAAGTCAACTGTTTATATTTCTATTTAAAAGCTTCTTATCGATAGACAGTAAAATAGCTCAAAGTACAACATTCGAGTTTTCTGACTTACTGTGGTCCCTTTCAGAAACTCCCACTCAGTTACAAGATCTCCAGGGTCCTTTGCTGCACTGAATTCACAGCACGTAGAGAGCAACAGCGGCTCACAATCCAGTCCGAGTTTATCGTGGCCAGGGCTTAGCTCTGGGCACTTTCCTTTACGTTCTCTAACATGACTCTGGCCCTGTAAGTATTATTATTATTATTACCCTATTTGGCAGGCAAGGAAAGTGAGGCTCAGAAGTTAAGTCACCCACCAAGAACCAAAAGCATAATTCCAAGTTTCCAAAGTATGAATGGTATGTACAAATTTACATAGTTCTGCCTTAGCAGTTTAGACAGGGTGCTTTCAAGCTCCTCAAAGTCTGGCACATTCTGCAACATTAACTTGCCTCTTTTCTAGCTGCGGACTCGGAAGTGTGCTGGGAGGAGGGCTCCGGCCCAGCATCCAGGCACCCACAGTTCTGGCAGTCCCGGGCTGGCTCAGCTTCTGGCGGTCCTCAGCTTCCTCCTGAAGTACTCGGGGGCAGCCTCGTACAGCCACTCGGCGTCCACAACGCAGAGGTCTCGCATGTAGCACTTGTTGGTGTAGAGCAGCTCCGTGTACACTACGCAAGCCGGCTTGCAGTGGAAGAGGACAGACGAGGGGTGGATGGCCACAGGCTGGTGGGTGTCCGTGGTGGCATAGGTGCCATCCGGCTGAAGCTCGGCAGTGCTCATGAAGAGGCTGTGAGCCAGGCAGCGGCGGATATTCTGTGTGTCTCCTCGGGAGGACATGATTGGCATAGACATCTGTTTAAGAGGAAGTGAGGTACGTAAAAGACTGAATGTAAGTACTGCTCAGCACCGCATCGTATTTGGAACATCTGTACCTAAAACGCAGCCCATATTGCAAACCCAACAAAATGGACAGTGGAGGTGGTGACTTCAAATGCCTCAGGGCTGGACGTAAGCACAGCTGAGGGAGAACAATGGAAAACAGGGAAAGAGCAGCATGGGTGCATCAGGACCAGTGGGAGATGGTCATATAGGTACCAGAGCACTGACAGGTTAGATGACCCGCAAGGTTGGGTGACTCCTACCTGTTCACTGCAGTACCCCACCCCAGGGAGGAAGGCCTTTCCCTCTCACCTTGCATACCTCATCATTCCCTTGCTCTAAATCATCCCACACATTCCTGCCAAATTAATCTTCCTAAACAACTATTTTATTTGTTTACTTTTACATATTTTTGTGCATTTTTCCATCAGTTGCAATCCACTTGGGTTTCCCATCACAAATCACCCATGTGCCATCACCACTGTCCAGTGCACTTCCCTCCCCCCACATTTTTGATCCCATTCCCCACTCCACCCCCACAAAATGTCTCCGGTATATAGCTGTTCAGTATTATCATTATTTTCTCGCATGTTCTGTTATACTTCTGCTATGAGTGAAACCATTTGGTATTTTTCCTTTTCTTTCTGGCTTATTTCATTAAGCATGATCTTTTCCAGCTCCATCCATGTTGCTGCAAAAGACATGTATTTCTTTTTTTGGTTGCTGAGTAATATTCCATTGTATATATGTACCACATCTTTTTAATCCAGCCATCCATTTTTGGGCATTTGGGGTGTTTCCATGTCTTTCCAATTGTGAATAAAGCAGCAATAAACATGGGGATACAGATATCTTTTTGAATCAGTGTTTTTTCAAGTCATTCTTTATCTACTCAAAACCCTTCAATATCTCTATTGTCCCTGGCAAAACCATGTCAGCTTCCTATTGTGCAGCCAAGAATGGGCCACCCTGAGCATCCTGGGGACCTCCAAAATCAACTGCCATCTCATACCTAGGCCTGTTCTGGGACTGCCTTTGCAGGTGTATTCCTAGGAAGACACCCTCAGTGCTAGAGTAGAAATGCCAACTGTCAATCAATCTCCTCACTCTGTCATCCTTGCTAAGTGGTTGTCACCTCACACCCTGGCCAGAGCTGAGTGGATTAGTGGCAGACACCTATTCAGCTCATACTGGGCCAGCTTCTCACTTCCAGGCACTCAGAGTCTGAACACGCAAAGTCTGACCAACCTGCTAGTCTCTTGGGGGAGAGCACGGGGAAAGTAATCTTGCAGGCAGAGGCAAGGCAGGCAGGCTGAGGCTGGAAGCGTGCAGAACAGAGCTAAAACAAGAGGACCTGCTAGCAGGCCCAGAGAAAGCTGCCCTGGCTCCTGACCTCTTCGTCTGTTTCTTTATTCTAGTCCCTGTGGGGCTTGTTTACTTCCTGCCCACAGCTTCTCAGAGATGCCTCTTTATCCCTCATTTTCTCTTGAGGATGGTTTAAGGGGTTTTGTTCTTTGTAACCAACTGGTCCTGGCCCAGTGAAGATCCTCTATCTCATTCGTTAAGATGGAGCCCAGTGGGCACCAGGAAGCTCTAGCACTAGCACTACAGGTAACTGATGGCCTCTTTTCCTAGATTGCCAGCTCCAGCACTCACTTGCTGTGATTTGGGGTGCATTACTTAACTTTCTCAGGCTCTCATTTCATTTGTAAACCTGGATAATAACAGAATTAACTCACAGAGGTGAGCGAGGATTTTAAGTCAAGCAACTGTATGAAAAGTGTTTAGAACAACAGTACCTTAATAGTGTTTCAAAACAACAGTGATTTTAATTATCACTAGCTTCTCAACTAAGTTACTCGTACACATACATAGTTCCTCCAGATTGTTCCTTAAGATACTATGTATCAGGATCTATATTTTTCTAGTATGTGTGTGTATATATATATACATATACATACACACACACACATACATACATACATACATACATACACACACACACACATATAAATATATAAATATAAATATTGTGAATAAAATGCTATAAAGTTACCAAAAAGGTATGGTAGGCATATGACAGAGACTGAAAGACAGCTCAGGCACACTCAGTATTCAAGAATTATACCAAACAAAAAACAAGTTGCAAAATAAAATATATGCTGTGTTTGTTTTAGAAAGAAAATTTTGGGCTTCCCTGGGCAGTACAAGGGGTCAAGTCTCAGCACTATGAAGCTATCTGCAGCCACTGCACCAAGAGTTTGATCCCTGGGCTGGGAGCACAGCAGACCTTTCCTAACTCACCTGTTGCTCCCCTCAGCAGTCTATTTCAGTGGACCCTCCTGTTCTTCTCCCGACTCTGTCTCTGGTGAATCCTCTCATTCCCCCCACATTTCTGGCCTGTACCCCAGCTGTTGTATATAAATAAAATAAATCTTTTAAAAAAAATATAAAGCTTAAAAAAAAATCTTACTTGTGATACCCATTTATGTGTGTACCCACACACATATATACAAAAACATATATTTCAGGGCCTCCCTGGTGGTGCAAGGAGTCAAGTCTCAGCAATACTAAGCTATTAAACAGCCACTGCAGCAAAAGTTCAATCCCCAGCCAGGGAGCTGACCCACATGGCGCAGCAGACCTCTCCTGTCTCTCCTGCTGCTCCCCTCGGCAGTGTACTTCAGTTAATCTGCCTGTTCTGCTCCCCACTCTCTGGTGAAATCCTGTCAACCCCCCACACCTCTGGCCTATAACCCAGCTTGTGTATGCAGTGGGAGAGACAGGCGAGGTCTGCTGCGCCATATGGGTCAGCAACCTGGCTGGGAATTAAACTCATGCTGCAGTGGCTGCAGATAGCTTCATAGTGCTGAGGCTTAATCCTTTGCATCACCAGGGAGGCCCTGCATCAACTTTTATTAATGATAAAAGTTACTCCTGTAACCGGAAAGATAGATATCCCCACTTAAAAAAAAAAAAAAAGCTTAGAATTCTAGTAACATTGGAAAATGCCTTTAAAATTTAAAACAAGTACAAATTATGTTTAAAAAAGTGCCTTTAAAAAGCAGGAGGCCTGTGAAGAAATAGACCAAAATAGTGGGAGGTTTACAACTTTCATCCTTATTTTCACCTAGAATAAAAGTGATAGCTTAGTCCCCCACAAAGAATACCAGCAAGAAAGAATACCTTTAAGCAGATGTCTCTCAACTGTGCTCTGACTTCAGCTACTAGCATCATATTCTTGCTATTGACAAAATTCTCTTTGCACCAATCCTGAAAAGGAAAAATAAGAGTATTTTAATTCTCTCCTACTGTTGAGAAAATAAATATAACAATTTTTAGTATGTAAATGAATTTGGGGGAAAACTTCAGTTACTTCAGTTTCGAGTGAACATGGGAAAACATATTAAAGTGTATGACCCATAAGGAAAACTATTTGTAAGTAAACTGTTTCCTCCTTTATTATATTTGCTTAAAACTAAACATTTCCTTATGTCAAGTCAACATGAAAAAAGCTACAGACTGGGATATTTCAATCCTTACACCCAATAATGAATGAGAACTCCCAAGATATATAAAAACCCAACTGTTCAGGAAAAAAAAAGACAAGGGATATGGAAAACTCACAGAGGATAACTACAAACGACCAACAAACTCACGTAGGGATTCTCACTCTGTAAGAATCACAGCACTGCATTATAAAACAGGAGACTAGTGCACATCCATCAACTTGGCAAAAATACTAAGGTGGGAAGGAGGATGGAAAGAGAAAGTCCTACACACTATGGAGTGTATACAGAAGTACTGACACCTTGGGGAAGCCACATGCCAGTCTGGTAAAGCTGGATGCAGCTACCCAAGGCCAGCAGGTCACTTCCTGGGTGCTGTTACCCAGCGATATTCTCCCTGTGGAGAAGGAGACGCATACAGGTGTTCACTTCAGCATTGGAAGTGGAACAAACTGCGAAGGGTAGTGTACAAAAAGATCCCTAGTCTATAAAGTTCACGGATATAAAGGTACTCTGTTACCCGTGGAAACACACCCCAAATTCAAGACAGTTTAACCACCAGGAGGACAAGAGTAAGAAGGCTAAGGGTAAGAAGGACTAGGAAAGGAGCAGGTCAGAGCTTCTGCTATAGCATTTCATTTCCTGAAACACAATTGAAGCAATATAGCAAAATGTTTATAAAACATTCTAACTACTAAAAATGTGTAGTCTTCTTTTTTTATTTTTAAAGGAATTAACTGTACTAGAATGCAGGCAATATTAAAACATGAATACTATTGTACATATCCTACTGGTTTCATTAATAAAAGAAGCAATATATTGTCACTTTCCATTTAGGAAGAAACGCATTGTCATACAAACAAAAACTGCTACACAGAAAAATGAGGAACAGTTAGGGGAAAACATTACTTTGTAGCTAAGAAATCAGGTTCTAAATATAAACAGAGCAGAAGGTAAGAATGGTGTTTTTTCCCTGGCAATCTCTCCGTATGCACATTTCTGAAATAATATCTGGCATTCTCTTTGTGATTCTTTACATGACTCAGCCAAAAATGAAGGTATATTCAAATTGCATCCCTGAAAAGGAGTGTCATTTGAGAAAAGGAAAAAGAAAAGATTCACCTTATTCCCGCCTATGTTTTTGAAGGTCCGGTACATGTTGAGTAAGGTAACATGGTCGCCCTCGCTGGATATGAACTTCTTGCGGACACCCTGCACTTCATCCCGCCGGGAGGGAGGGTTATAGAGGACACTGTCCACCGACAGCAGGGAGACAATGGTCAGTATCTCTTCTGTACAGTGGAATTTGGGGGACAGGAGAATGGTCTGCAAATCAAAATTAAAAACTGTATAAACTAAGTTTTTTTCTAGCAAGAATAGTTCTGTATATTGCATTTGCAACTTCCTAAGAAGTTAAAGGGGAGGTATTTCTAAAGCCGTGACTATGCTTGTTACTCCTTTTTGACTATTTTGGTAAAACAGGACTGTATACTTCTTATGAGTAGGGCTCATAACTTAATATGAGTTTGAATCCCATATAGAACGTAAGTCAGTGTTAGATATAAAGTAAAGATTGATAATTATTTAAGAAAAGAAAAAGAAAATTAATCTAGAAGCATTGGGTTTAGGAGTCTACTTTGGGATGGCTAACCTGTAATACACAGAAAAGGAACTGAGGAGAAGGTATCATTTACTTTGGCAAATTTGGGTTCTAAAGGAAAAGCTGCCATCTTTCTTCCAATTGGAGTCAAAGTCAGCTGGTCATCCTTATGTTCGAGAGCACCTAACAGGTCCAGTTGGGCAATGGCTGCCTGCACATGATCTAAAGAGAAACAAACATAAAAAAGGAGCCAAAAATCCAAAGCCCCCAAATTATAGCGACTTCAGTCCTTTAGGGGCTTCTGATAACTCTCCACCAAACAACAGCAAAGATCAAAACCACCACTGTCCCTCTGACATACTTTTCACAATTGTTAATGATATTTAATTTCCTTCTAAAACAATGACCTGTAACTTGGCAAACTGTACATAAATTTAAATCCTGCAATATTACTTATAAATTTCACCCACAGATACACACTGTCAGGCACCTGCATTCCAAAAACATACACATAAATGGTCTTCCCTGGTGGCACGACAGGCTAAAAGCGCAGCATATGAAGCTATTGCAGCCACTGCAGCATGAATCTCATCCCCAGCCAGGGAGCTGACCCACATGGCACAGCAGACCTCTCCTGACCTGCCTGCTGCTCCCCTCCATAGTGTATTTCAGTCTATCTGCCTTTTCTGCTCACTGCTGTCTCTGGTGAATTCTCTTCCACCTATACCTCTGGCCTGTACCCCAGTTCTATATGAATAAATAAGTAAATCTTTAAAAAAATACACATAATAATGGAAGTAGCAGGTACTTTATAGGTACTCTTTTATACTGTTTGAATTTTGAGTCATGTAAATACATTATCTATTAAATAAGAGAAAAACAATTTCTGAGGGTGTAACAAATATATACACACTGAGAGGAACTGATCTGTAAAATGTATCACCTGAAATACGCAATGTGTAAATGTGTATCAATGGAATAGCTGAATGACTTGACTTATTCATAGACTGGAATAGCATTTACTGGTGAAAATGCATCAACACAAATTAAACCTCACAAAATTTAATGGCAGAAAAGGAAAAGTAACTGAAGTTAAGACATAAACTGTAAACTGAAACACTGGTAAGGGACACACGGGTGTTCAGTGAAACATTAAAGAAAAGTCAGGAATTTACATACAAAGTGTGGGGGCAGCTACCCTGAGGGAGGAAGGCGAGCAAGTGAGGCAGGGAGGGACGCAGAGGGCACAGGTAGGTGTTGGCTTACCACCTCTACCTTACATGTATGCTCTTCTCTTACATGTAAGAATTCAGTAATTGAAAGAAAAAAGCAAAGTGCAGAACTGTGCATAAAGTGAAACTGCTACTGTGTTTTAAGAGATCATCTACACCTGTACATGCATAGTTGTTTTCTAGGAGACAACAAGAAAATGGTCACAGTGACTGTTTAAGGGGCAGGACACTAAGATCCTGGAGGGATCCTTGTATACCTAGCAATTGTCTATTTTTTTTTTTTTACCAAATGCATTTCTTCACTTAAAGAAGAGTCGGGGGGGAGGAGGAAAATGGTGTACTGGGGAGATGTCACGTGCTAAACCTATCACCAAGAACTAAAAAAAAATTTCCTTCACACATTGTTAATGAAGGGCAGGAAGAAGTCAGTCATATTACAGCCCCAAAGAAACTTACAACTTTTTACTGGCAAAACTACAAACCTGTTAAGTTTCTACAGCATCCCACAGATCCACCTGACTATCTTTATTACCTCCTGTGACCAGGAACCTCAACAAAGCTCCTGGGCACCACTGTTTCTGCACTAAGACAGCACAGGACCCAAGCTTCCCGATTCTGAGACGCTTCTCAGAAAGTGCATTGTTATATCAAATGAAATGAAACAGAAGATGACCACCAAAACACCAAGAGCTCACATGCTCTTGTCTACTCGCATGCCTTCCACTGTATTGGAGATTATTACCTGGGGATGGTTTGGACATGAAGTCAAAGGTGAGCACATTTGGGACTTTCATTGCTAGAAGCTGTAGCAGCACGCTCGCCAGGTTACACCTACAAAGAAAGAGATGGCTGTTCACCTGGCTCTGATTCTCCAGTCACTGAGGCAGAACAGTCCACTGGGTTTGTGAAAACTGCAGGCATGTGGGAGCACCTCAGCCTACCTCTGGATCTCTGGCACTGTCATCTTCTCAAACTTCTCAAACTCATCTTCTGTGTAGAGCCGGTAACAGATGCCGCTTTCCTCTCTGCCAGCCCGCCCTGTTCGTTGCCAAGCCTGGGTCTTTGACACCCGCTGCACAGCTAACACCTCCAGGCCACTGTCTGGAGGCAGAATGAACCTCATTTGTTCTTTGTTCAGCACAGAAACAAACTTTTCCCCCACAGTGTGGACAAAAAGAAGTATTCCTTAGAATACCAGTGACCCTTTCTGCAATACGTGAGTCCAGAAAACTCAAGGCTACACTGGAAAGCACAAAACCCAGCTGCTCTGTAGTGAAATGAGGGCTTGCGATGAATGCTGTGTGAAATCTTTTACTAAAATAGCAGAAGAATCTGCTTGTGGTGTGGGGCTGGGAGTGCCTTATGTCAGAGGCCTTGGTTTAGACACAGGGAGTCATGCACTCCACTTTGCCCAGGAGTGAGGGGGTTCCCAGGACTTGGGGTTTTAGTGATAAAAGCCAGACAGTCTATGCAATCTAGGATGGTTGGTCACCCTATCAATTAGTGACTTGGAAATGAAATGCTTCCAGTCCCTTGTGCTGGACCTTCCCTCCCACTTTTATTACAAAGGGCGGTCAAAGTGACACTGTTTCTCCTAGGAGTAAATGAGATGAGTTTTCTTTGATAAAGGTGTATTCTGCGCCAGGCACTGGAGAACCAAGTCCTTTCAGATACATACATAAAAGTTAGTAGCCTCCAATGACAATTGTAGCTCATTTCAATTAAACAACTGGGAGCCATCATTTCAGCTGCCTCAAATCCTCTGTAAATTGAGCAAGGTATGAAACACACAAGACTAAAAGTGACTTCAAGCAAGATTCTCACTGTATAATAACCTCAGGAAATAGCTAGTGCCTCTTCTGGGCTCAGGCATGCTTCCTTCTTGAGAAACCTGGCAGCTCACCCCAGCAATGCTCAAATACTACTTCTGATGAAGCCGCTGATGCAGTATCATGCTGTCCCTCTCCTTCAAGTCAGTATTCTCAGTTAACTTTTGATGAAGCTTAAGGCCCTTTGTCCAGATCCTGACCTGCTGTCCCCATGTTTGCTAACCCTGGGCTCTCCTTTCCACCTTGTTTTCTTGTGTCACTGACCTGCCTCAAGTTCCCTTGCTGGACCTGATTTCTGGAATGTCTATGCCTGCCACCCAAATGTCAGTTAGTTCCAAACATGAAATGCTCATTTGGGGAAAACTGTGGGACTACGTGAAACTCAATAGTGCTCACTATATAGAGAAGAGAGTCATGAGCTACAAATTCTCACCAGGGTTATACTTCTTTGCTTTAACCATGCCCGTGTCAACTACATATTTTATTCCTGTAATGGTTATGGAGGTTTCAGCGATGTTGGTTGAAATGATCACTTTGCGATAACCCTAAAAGGAGGAAGAAAACCAAAAAGCCATATGACACACATATGATCCAGAAGTTTAAAAACATATTCGTCACCATTAATTTCCACAGTTCATTCATGATCAAGAAAAGAGGACTTAGTTGTTAATGACAGTTAATAATATTGATGGCTGATCTTTGCACTGGGGGGTGGAGGTGGGGCTGTTTCAGTCTTATTCTGAGGTGTGATGAGGTATAGAACAGGCACAGATTCAGAAACAGGCAGATGCATGACGGCACCCTGGCCCTGCCGTTTACTTACTACACACCCCCTGAACATCTATTGTCTCTGAGTCCTCGGGGTTTATTAAGTGGGGTCAAAACCTACTTGGCTGATTTTCGAGAGGATAAGAGACAGTGTATGTAGTGTTAGCACAGTGCCTGGCACAGCATGGGCATCCAATAAATGGTACTATGGACAACCGTGACCTGTTTATGTTGGGCCTTAACCATTCCGTTTCTGCCTTCATACTCTTCCTCATCTCTAACAACTGTTCCCCTGTTCTTACGTGGGAGAGTGGTATCTATAGCTCTGCAGTTTTTCAGCCAATGTTATTGGGTACCTAAGCATCCTGTCCCATTCACCTTGTAAGGAGTCTGCTGTCTAGCATATAAGCCCTACTGTTGGACCATCTGGGAGCTCTGGCATGGTGCTGGACAGGGGAGGTGGTACACTCACCTTTGGGGCTCCCTGGAAGACGCGGAGCTGCTGAGCATAGGGCAGGGAGGCATACAGAGGAAGAACCAGCATGGAAGGGCAGCCATCTGGGAGGTGTTTGGCAATGTCTCGGCAAGTCTTGCTCATTGCTTCAATCTCCTCTTGACCAGTGAGGAACACCAGGATGTCCTGAGAAGAAGGGGCTTCCTATAAAAATGAAAGGGAGGAATAACCAGCCAGGCATTAACAGACTAGTAGGTTGCACAAAACCCATTATTGTCTGATAATGTTTCCCAGGATAACTTTTCTTAATTGTGGAGTTGTACATGAGTCTAAATGTTGCTATTTCCCCTGGAGGAAGGCCCTTTTAAACAATGTATAAAGCTGTAACTTATGCAAGTTAGGCAGCTATGTTTAAAAGCTAATTAAGGATATTTTGGATGAAAATCACCAGATTGACCAGTATCATGAAAAGCACAATCAGGTAAGCAAATGAGATCTGCAAAAGTTTCCTTCCTTTCAAAATCGTCTTGAAAGATGAGTCTCACAAAACAAAAAGACAACTCAAAGTCCTGACCAATGAAAATGATCAGAAACTGTCATGATGGTAAAGAAACGCTTATTAAATGATGCCATTAAAAGCACTTTCATACACTGAAAAGGCACACTGTACTTGGCCAAAGGCTTCCGATAAAAAGCTTAACTATCAGATGGAAGGACAGCCCTTGTTAATGACATAATCATTTCACTTGATTTTTCCTTGAAATCTGTTCAGATGCAAAAATAATTGCAAATGTTCACTAATATGTATACATAACATTGTATATGTATGTGCATGTACTTTTATTTAACCCCAATATAACTAACAGCAAAAATGTCCGAGGATGCACAAGAGACAGGATGAATCTAAAAGAGTCAAAACTTCATCAATGGGAAGACTCATCAAAACTACTGTGCCACCGGAAGGCACCTACAGGCATCACTCATGATGCCTCATCTCAAATTGACTTTTGATAGATAGAGAATGGTCAGCTTCAAATACTATCAAAAGGACAGTGAAGGTATAAGCCTAGAAAGACAGAGACAATGGGAGAAGAGAATAGATAGCAAGTTTCAACTCATTTTTTGAAAGATGGATGAGAAGGGGGAGAGGGTGAGTGGCTTGACTGGGCAGAGGAAATTTTAACACGGGTAACTTCTGAGGGAAATGGAAACCACAGATGAGTCAATTTCCACAGAGAAGCCAGAAAGATTCAGGACTTGGGAGCAAGGTGGAGTCAAGTCACGGGAAGATAAAAACTCAGGAAGTAGCTCAAAGTCTGAGTACACTCTGGCTAAATCCCCCAGTCCTTTTCTATGCAACCAGATGGCTGGCAAGACTCCGGGTGACCACAAAGGGAGTCCACACAGGAAAATGGCAAAGGGAAAAGTCAAGGTGGCCGTTACCCAGAGGCCAGGAGAACAACCTGTTATGAATAGAAATGGAGCATAAAGGACCCTAAGGTAAGTGGGTTATGTCTGACCACATAAAAGATTCATGATTGGCAGAGACAGATGTTGGAAAACATGGGAAAAAAATTAATCATAAGTATATAGTAAGACTGTGTAAGTGTGTTCTCTAAGGAATGAAGAATCAAGATGGTGCACTGCCAGCAAGGTGAAGTCATAATCCTGATACTATTTCAAAAATAGTCTGATATAATTAAGCTGAGAGAAGAAAGGTTTGAAGCTGTTTCTACATCCTCATTCATCATTTTAAGAAATTATTATGTAGCACCTAATATGTGTAAAATAAAAAAAAAAGCTATATAAGCAGGTTATTTTAGAAATATGAAGGCAGTATCCAGTGGAAACAGACAAGAAATTGAATGTAGTTATGCTAACAAACAAGATCTGGAATAGGAAAGTAAAAGCAATTGCTGGTTCCTTTGTTTTCATTGAGTCTTTCTGAATGAATTACTTGATTTTTTTAAACTTTAGACAGTTTAAAATTACTTTTAAAGCTTATCTCAGTTTAAAATTACTTGTAAAGCTTATCTCTAGTTTTTTTCCCAGAAAGTTAATAGAAAGATAAAAAATCAATTTTACACAAATTCAACAAAAATGGGGTGACATAACCATTCAAATTTTCAAGTGAATGTTTCATGAGTTGAGAAGTGCTTTTGAAATATCTGTTAACAGCAGCTCTCCTGCCCACCTGTGACTATGCAGGGGCCTCTCTTTCTCCTTTGTCTAATAAACGGCTCCTTTCAAAATGTTAAAAGAAAAATTAAAAAAGGAAATGACTTTCAAACAGGTCCTTTTTTTTTTTTTTGAGAATTCTAAGTTGCAACCTCATTTTGGTTGCCAAGAAAAACCCTATGTCAGCTTTTTGTTTGCATGAATTAGGAAACAGCTGAGGTCATCACATAGTAAAGGACGCAGAACACTTATTTCTGTAATATGTACTGTGTACGATGTTACCACATAAAATAATTCGCTTTTTCTTTTAAATCCTCTGTTCACTGTCAACCAACTGAACTTCTGTAAATATAAATTGTACATTATAAAATGTGCTTCTTTGGGGGATTATGATAAAAAATTATTTGTAAGCCACTATTCTAAAATGTGGAAGTTTTCTGATTCGGTTGAGGAAAGATGCTGGTCAGAAGTGAATTGTTTTTGTTTTTAGAGGGAATAAAAGATACTATAAAAAAAATATAAACTTGAACATGGTAAGTAAATTCCTATTCATGTTAATGGTAGAGCTCACAAAGTTGTTTCCCGCAGTAGCTGAATGTTCCACCTTTCCAGGCCTGAGTGCTTTATCAAGTGCAAGTGAAACAGCCCTCTTCAGGTGTCTGCACCCTTTCCATACCTGGTGGATTTGGAAGACTGAGACAAGCGCAGCATGCAGGTAGTCATGCTGAGGCTGTTTGGTGTAAAAAATCTGGATTGGATGCTGCCGACCCTCTAGGTAGAGGACGGGGGCTCCATTGAAATACTGAGAGAACAGGTCCACATCCATTGTAGCCGACATCACAATCACCTACGTAAACGAGGGAAGAGAAGGGTGGGAAACAGACGTTGGACTGAATTTCTGTGTCCCCTCTCAACTCTAAAAGCAGAAGAAAAGGCCTCTGCCCCTCCCATCTTGATGACTTCCTCGGTGCTTGAAGCGGCACGGGTGAAGGAGGTGCTGCAGAGGAGGCACAGGCCTAGACCCGCAAGCGTGCTGAACCTACTTTGAGGGGCAGCTTCCCCAGTTCCTTTCTCCTCTTCTGTGCCGCTTTCACCACACCAAACAGCACATCTGTGTGGATAGTCCGTTCATGGGCTTCATCCAAAATGACACAGCTATACTTCCGAAGCAGGGAGTCTGAAATTGCTTCTCGCAGAAGCATGCCATCTGTCAGGAACTTGATCCTGGTGTCTTCTGAGGTGACATCATCAAAGCGCACAGTATAGCCAACCTATGCAGAGACATGACTCATTCACACACACACACTGGCTGAGCACGCACTAAGCATGCAGTACCGGGCGTGCACCTGCACTATCATAATGAACAAGACCAGCACCAACCCTGAGGTATTCCCTCGGAGCATGCAGTCTAGTGGCGGAGACAATGGCCGATCTTGCTGCAACTACGAAAGGCTAGCAAAATGAGCCTTCTAACCCCAGCAACTTAACAGCTTCAAGTGAAGCTATGTACAGATTGAAAAGGTGTCCAAAATATTTTTATGTGAAATGTATAAATTTACACAACCAGAAAAAAAAAATCTGACATATACAGTTCTACGACTCATTCTTAATATCCACCTATATGCTAGAAGAATGCTTATAATTTTTCTAGAAAGACGCATGAAGAGATTGAACAGAGATTACTGAAGTCTTAAAAATGCTCAAGGAAAACAACTAATATATTCCACTTGCCAGCAGATTTTGAAAGCAAAGCAAATGGATTGACAACCTCTGATCAGCAAACCCTTTGATCCCCTAGGAACTATAAAAACAAAATAAAACAACTAACACTAAACTAAGAGGCCTAAATAACTGTGGCATGAAAGAATCTTGCTTTGCTTAAGAAATCTTGTTCAGAAGAATAAAAGGTTGGGGGGCATGGATGGAGTACACAGGAAAGAAATGTTAGTAAAAAAGGAAATTAGTACCAGTTTCCCAAGTTCAGTTCTCTTCTCATCTGAGACTCTAGTAGCAAGAGAGATGGCAGCCACTCGACGAGGCTGGGTCACAGCAATGATGCCCTGGCGACTAATCCCCCCCTCGTAGAGGTACTGAGGGATCTGGGTTGTTTTGCCAGAACCAGTTTCCCCTAGAAAAGAAAAGAAGTCTTGTTTAAATTAAACTGAAACAACTTAAAGAGGTCAAAGTTTGGAGGAAAGGATGTAAATAACCTAAGTTGATAAGAGTCACAGAAAAATGGGCTATATATACTGCTCGTGGAGGGTTAATTGGATGGTTTCTCAGAGGTCAAATTATATTTAAAAATCTTTAATATGTTTATACACTTGCATAAACTGAGTGTAAGGAAATAATTAATGACATGCATGAAGACAGAACTTCAAAGCTGTCTTATTCCCCTTTGTTCCTGATAGGAAAAAACTGGAAATACACACACACACATATTCAATGATAGATTACTGGTATAGTAAAAACATAAGATGAAATACAACCATTAAATAAAATGTTGTTATTTTTTAAAATAATAGATGAGATTCATATATTCTGACATGAAGAAACAGCTACTCACACACTGCAACCATAATAAATGCCTCACTATTCCCTAGACTGCTGCTTTCTTTCAAATCTTCTACTCTTGCACATACTATTATGAAATACCTGCGCTCACACTATCTGCTAGGCAAACTCTGCAAGATGAGTTAGACCTCAGGCCTGCCTGGTGGCACAAGGGGTTAAGTCTCAGCACTATGAAGCTATCACAGCTATGGTAGCACGAATTGGATTCCCGGGCAGGCGATGACCCACATGGCACAGCAGACCTTTCCCAGCAGATCTCTCTTGTCTCACCCTCTGTCTGCTCCCCTCAGCAGTGTATTTCACTCCATCTGCCTGTTCTGCTCCCCACTTTGTTGCTGGTGAATCCTCTTACCTCCCCACACCCTTCTGGCATACACTCCAGCTCTTTTATGCATAAATAAATAAATCGGTTTTTTTTTTTTAAGATGAGTTAGACCTCAAATTCTCTTTCATGAGGCTGCACTCCCTGCTTCTTATGCCTTGTTTATCTCTTACAGCACTGACCACCTTACATAGTGGTTAGTGTTAAAAAGCTTTTGTCCTCCTTTGACAATGGAAGCTCTTGATAGGCAGAGGTCTTTGTGTCCTTTCTATGTACTTGAGCATCCTACAAACAGTAAAATCCAGTGTTATTTCCTACCCCCTTGTGGTTTCCTTTAACAGGACCTAATTAGAACTAACAACTCAGTAAACCTGAGCACCCTCTCTCTGACCTCAGAGTCCTTGCAATTTTTCTTCTATCACTGCTCATCCTTCCTGATCTAGCCAAGCACTATGGAGTAAGAATTTGACTCTTCTGCATTTTCTCTGCTTTGCCTGGTAAGGCAAAACCCCAAACTTGGATCACTGTCTTCCTGTGCCTCTTTTCTGTGCCTCCATCAACTGAGCAATGCTAAAGAAAAATAATCCAATTATGCAGCTGAAGAACTGAGTTTAAAGTGAAGCCAAATGCACCTACGTGCCAACAACCACAGACCCTTGTTTTTGCAATTTATCTTCTCCTCACCTCCCCAGGGGCCTACCTGAGGTTCCTTGACACCTACTCTCACCAGAATTTCTGCATCAAATAAATAACAGCAAAGGCCTCCTATGTGACCTCCCACTACCTTTCCTTACAAGACTTGGGCAGTCACAATCTTCGTCACCGCCTTTCTCCAGCCTTGTAGCCTTTCAGATATCCTTCCTCCTATTGCAGACCAACTCTGCATCTAACTCTTGTTGCCATGTGCCCCTGGCCCCAGTGCTGCCCCATCTCTGCTGTGAGGGCGGTGCTGTCCCACTCCTGTGAGGCCCGTGTCAGGTCTGACAAAGAAAAGCCGGGAAGGCTTGTGTAGGAACGAATGAAAGAGGCCGGAGGCACCAGAGAAAAACTTTGCTTACATAGCTAAGAGTCGAAGGCAAGAAAGGACCTGCCTGCGCGGCTACTCACCGATGAGGACGGCGCTGTCCAGGTTTCGGAGCTGGGCTAACAGCTGCCCGCGCGCCTGGAAGATGGGCAGACTCCGGCGCTGCAGCTCCACCGCTTCAGGGTAGGGGCTGGCTGAGGGCTGGGCCAGGGCCGGCTGCTGCCTCCGGCCTCCGCCGCCGCCGCCGCCCGCAGTCAGCAGCATTACCACTCGCCTACCGGGAGGGCAGGACCCCGCGCGGCTCGGGGGCCCGGAGCCCGGCCGGAATCTCTTGGCCGGCGGGAAACCCGCCTCCTCGGGCATGTCGGGAGGGCACCGAGACCCGGCGCGGAGGGCCGGCTCCTGCTGCTCCCGGGAGCCGGCAGCAGGCACACGCCGCCCCCGCCCACCACGTGCAGCCGGCTCCGGGCGACCACCGATGACCTCACGGCCACCCTCGGCTTTTAGGGAAGGGACTGCAAGTCCTAGCATGCACTGGGAGCTGGGGAAAGTGATTCACTTCCTGAGGGCGGGGAGAGCAGGCTGAGGTACAACGGGGTAAAAAGGTCCGGAGTGACAATAGCGGTGAGCCGGGCGTAAGGTTCCGAGGGACTTAAGGCCTGCCTAGTAGTGAGGATCTTCTTGACTGGTGAAATGGCTTCTTTCCAGTAAATACGAGTTTTTCTTTTCTATCCACAATAATACTTGCGCTTCAAGGAAACGACCTAATTCTGTAAAACCAGTTAGGAACGCACAAACACTCATTAGTTAATCTTCGCCCCATTTACAAATGAAGAAGCCAAGTCTTTGATTAGTCATTCAGCTCTCACAAAATCTGAATGTTGAGAGGAATAATGATTATTTTGTCACATTAAAAAATTATATGATCTGTGAAAACCATATATTCACTTTAGTAAATGACCATCCCAGTCGGTGTCCTTGTAATATAAACAAGAAAAGTGGGAGTTCATTGGAACTAAAATGGTCTTTTCTTTTCCTGTCTCCATCTATTCCTGCAGACTCTAAAGTTCTTCTTAGCCCCGTTACACACGCTGCCAATCAATGAAAAGCTTTACAACTCCAGCGGAGATAATAATAGTGGTTTCTCTTTCTGAACTCAAAGCTCATCATTAAGTATGACAAGCAGCTGTTTGCTCTCCACACAGGAAATGTGATTTCCAGATAATTCACCAGAATATTCAATGTGAAGGACTTTCAGCATCTTCTGAAACTCATTTCCATGAAACTCAAAGCTCATCATTAAGTATGACAAGCAGCTGTTTGCTCTCCACACAGGAAATGTGATTTCCAGATAATTCACCAGAATATTCAATGTGAAGGACTTTCAGCATCTTCTGAAACTCATTTCCATGAAACTCATCCTATAAGTGAACCTGTTAAAAATCTTCCTCTTTCTTCCAGGTCAGAGAAAACTTTCCATTAGCTGCTGAAAATAACCAGGCATTACTGAAAATGCACAGGTTGGTTAAATAACAGATAGATATTTAGGAATTTCACTTCCTATTTCTGTTTATTTAGAAAGGTACTACCCCTCAACCTCAGGTCACCTACTGGTGAAGGCCCTCTGCCTGGCTTATAGCTGCCCTTGTCATGATCTCATAAGCTGGAAAGGGCGAAGGATCATCCTGGTGCCATTTATAGGGCACATCCCTACTCATGGTTATACCTTCATGATTTAAGCACCTCAAGACTTCATCCCAAAGGCACACTTACTGATATTGTTACTTCATGTGTTATGCTTCAACATTAGAATTTGGGGGGAATCTGAAGATTTAGACTGTAGCAATAACTGTTAATTCTCAAATTATGGTCTTTGAATATGTAAAAGACAAACCTCTGACCTTTTTTCCCATTGTACTTTCCAAATAATCCAATGCAGGAAATATATGCTTCAAATGATTACAAGAGTCCAGATAGGTGATATAAATGAGTGACATAATCTCTTACTAGAGCACATACCTTGTAAGTAGTCGTTAGTTATCTCTAAGCAATAGCTGTTATGCAGGCCTGCTATTGCCATATCTTCCCCCTTTTTCCCCAAGAAAAGCCAAAAACGAAGGTTTTCATGTGAGGCCTGCCAATAGTAACTGTTGTTGCCCCTCCTCGTT